TTATTAATCATTTTTATTAATCAAATTAAATAAAATTAATATTTTTAAATATAATATTCTCCCATTTTAGTTAGGGTTATGCGACTAATGACCATAACCGTGCGCCTACGGATTTCGCTGAAATCATTTTATTTTTTGATTTTGCCATCATTTCCCTCGCACTCTCTCTGCATTCATGATTGCACTGCACCTACGCTTATAAATTTTTTATTTTTCAACTCCAGAGAAATCAGAAACTAAGAGGTAAAGATCTCTCCTTTTTTCTCTTCTCTTCAATTCCCGTTCTAGGGTTTTCTTTTTCTTTGATAATCGTTTTAGGGTTTCAATTCCTGTTTGTTTCTCGGTAAAATTACGGCTCCAATCGTTGATTCGTTTGTTTGCCTTGTATGATATATGATATTAGAATAATGACGGAAAATACGGTTTCTTCTTGTAGCAGATTGTGTGAGATTCAAGATTTGAGATTTCTCTGCCTGAGCTTTTACTGGTATGAAACTGGTTGCATTTATTAAGTATCCTTTGATTTTGTTCTGTTGCTGTCCATGATTTTCCTTTTCTTGTTTGGATTCCGTTTGTTTGATTGTTAAGAAGTCCTGAAGTTCCAAGATTGCAATTTAGCCTCTCATGAGATCATAATATTTAGCTTTATCTGAACTTTATAATCAACAAACCACGTTTTAGATATAAGCAAGTTTTGGCCTTTTCATGAACTAAATTAAATTCATATTGTGGGTCATTAGGCCAATGATTGGGGTAAGTAATTTTGCCCAATTGGTGATTTTCAATCCGACTGAAAAATATATGAGAAAGTGATAGAAATAATTAGGTAAATGCTGAAGAAACTCTAAGATAGAGAGGGAGGGTTAATTTCATTTTTTTTTTTTATCGTTTCTTTAATTGGGGGATTTCTATGTTTTAGTTTAGGTTGATTGAGAGTGAGAAACCTGAAATGACTAAATTTAGTTTCTTCAATCAAATTTCAAAGGTGGTGGTTTGAATAAAGAATAAAGCTCTAAGAAGTGCTAAAGGATGTGAATAGGAGCAGCTTGGTCCCTTGTTTGTTTCTTCCAGTTGAGACTATGGCTATCATGTGATCATGGTTTTCATTGTTTTAGATCTTTCTTCTGACTTTGATAATTTTTAAACTGTTTCATTAAAAGAAACACTTGGCTGGACATACATTATGATTCAAAAGAATATTCTCTGTTTAACAGTTCATGGTCAGCATGTGATTAATTTCCATGCCCTTGATTATTTCCATTTTCACCAAATGGTAGCCTATTTGTTTTGTCGGCCACCATAAGATAAAAAAAAAAAAAAAAAAAAAAAAAAAAAAAAAAGGGGTAAATCCCCACATCCAAATCTCTCATCGAGCATGTATGGGTCTTTATCCTGGTTTCTTATTGCTACCATGGTGCCAGGTTATTCGGACATGGATTCTACGGCACAAACTATTGAACGGCACCCGCTGTTGGTGAAACTCTGGCCACCAAGTCGGAGTACCAGGCTGATGCTTGTTGAGCGGATGACCAAAAATCTTACTACACCATCCATTTTCTCTAGAAAGTATGGCTTACTGACCAAGGAGGAGGCCGAGGAGGATGCCAAGCAAATAGAAGAGGTGGCTTTCGCAGCTGCAGATCAAAACTACAAGAATGAGCCAGATGGTGATGGAAGTTCTGCAGTGCAAATTTATGCCAAAGAATCTAGTAAACTAATGCTTGAGGTTATTAAAAGAGGCCCTAGAATCAAGGATAGAGAGTTGATGTCATCTGATAAATCTGTTGCTGCCTGTGATACTGTCTTTGATATATCTGGTGGTCAGCGGGCATTTATTGAAGCAGAGGAGGCTGAGGACCTTTTAAAACCTCTTAGGGAGCCAGGGAACTTATACACTAAGATATGCTTCAGTAATAGAAGTTTCGGCATCGATGCAGCATGTGTTGCTGCACCTATCTTGTCATCCATTAAGGATCAATTGACAGAAGTAGACCTTTCAGATTTTATTGCAGGGAGGTCAGAGGCAGATGCTCTTGATGTCATGAATATTTTTTCTTCAGCCCTAGAGGGTTGTCAATTACACTATCTGAACCTTTCAAACAATGCCTTGGGTGAAAAAGGTGTCAGGGCATTTGGGGCCCTCCTCAAGTCGCAACATAATCTTGAAGAGCTTTATTTGATCAATGATGGTATATCTGAGGAAGCTGCAAGAGCACTTTGTGAGCTGATACCTTCTACTGACAAGCTTAAAATCCTTCACTTTCATAATAACATGACAGGAGATGAAGGTGCAGTGGCCATCTCTGAGATTGTAAAGCATTCTCGTGCGTTAGAGAATTTCCGGTGTTCTTCTACTAGAATTGGGGCAGAGGGTGGTATTGCCCTCGCTGAAGCACTTGCAACTTGTTCCCATATGAAGATGCTTGATCTTCGTGACAATATGTTTGGTGTAGAAGCTGGAGTTGCTTTGCTTAAAGCTCTCTCTCTCTTTGCAGATCTTACTGAGGTTTACCTCAGTTATCTGAACTTGGAGGATGAGGGGTCAGAAGCCCTTGCCAATGCTCTGAAGGAATCTGCACCTTCACTTGAAATTTTGGAAATGGCTGGAAATGATATTACAGCCAAAACTGCTTCATCTTTAGCAGCCTGCATTTCATCAAAACAATTTCTTACAAAGTTGAGCTTGGCTGAAAATGAGCTGAAGGATGAAGGTGCTATTCTGATTGGTAAGGCATTAGAAGAGGGTCATGATCAGTTGAATGAGGTTGATCTGAGCTCAAACAAAATCCGGAGGGCTGGGGCTAGGCTCTTGGCTCAGGCTGTTTTGAACAAACCTGGATTTAAGTTGCTGAACATTGATGGTAATTTCATATCTGACGAAGGGATTGATGAGTTGAAGGAGATATTAAAAAGTTCTCCTGGTATACATTGCCCTCTGGATGAGAATGATCCAGAAGGGGAAGATCTTGATGAGGATGTTGAAGAGAATGATGTAGAACTTGAGAGTGAACTGGAATCAAAGCTTAAAGATCTCAACATCTAGCAAGAAGAATATAAGTGCAATGCCTGTCCTTGCATTGTCCAGTTGAGGCTGTTTTTAGTTACAATCTTGCTTCCCTGTGCAAGCTAGTTTGCATGTAGTGTTATAGTTGATTCATCTGTTGTAGGTTAAAGTTTGAGAAGAGTACTTCAGAGATTAGAACACCAGAATCAATGGTAGGAGCCCCAATTAGGTGGGAGCTACATTTTGTCCGAGGCTTTACTCAGCAATGTTGTACTTTTGGATAATATGCTGTCATTTATTTACCTGTATCTAAAATTTATCTTGGAGGTAGAAGTCATCTTGTTTCCTTGACATTACTGTTCAGTGTTTCAATATCATTTTTGCTTATGTTTGTTAAATGTCAGTTGATATATGAATGATCAAAATTTTATGTAAATGATGTGAGTAGAAGTTGTGTAAATGGATTTTAATTATATACTCTGTGCATATATATATAGATATATATATATATATATATATAAAGGAATGCATATTATAGTAGGAGGATCTGAGATAGAGACAAAATTATCTCATATAGTCTTGTCCAACAAAGATTAACATAATTGTTGAAGCATTACTTGATTTTTGACAAATCAAACTGCTACAGGGACTTTAAGTGACTCTAGTATCTTATCATCAATCTCGAACTGCATGGGCTTCTTGTCTCGCCCAATCTTTACATACTCATCAAATCGTTCCTTCAAGTCTTCAGGAAGGTTTGTGGTGCCGCGCCATCCTAAAATGTCCTTTGCAGCTCTTGGTTCTGAATAGAAGTGCTGCAGAGTACGGGAAAGATAAGAGTTACACTACATTTCATAAAATATCTGCACCATGTATAAGTTTTTATGCAATGTCCTCACCATATTACGGAAAGGAAAAGCTTTCTTTGCATCAATTCCAACAGCTTTGGGATCATAATGAACAATTTCGACAGGCAGGCCTGCAGCTTGAGCACATAATTTGGCCATTCCATCCAGGGTCACTGCACGATCACTTACACAGTTGAATATATTATTTGAGGCAGCTCCTGGGTTCTCCACTGCTACGGTAAGCATGGAGGACAAATCCCTAACATGGGCTATGTTCGTGAGCTGCATCCCTGACCCCGGGATCGGCACTGGTCTTTTCCTAACAATTCCTGCCTCACAGTAAGATATAACAGGAGAAATTTTGAAACAAATTAATCACATTTCATGCTGCAAATTTTCTGCGACAAAAGTAAAACCCTTGGAATTGATGAACGGAGGCAAAGGCTCCAAAGATTGCTTACGATCAAAGAACCACTCCTCGCAATCTTTGTTGTTTCCGGATCCAATCATGTACTGGGGACGGAATATAGCCCAGCTGTTGAATATTTCAGCAATGTATTTCTCGACTCCAACATGACCAGCATCAGCTTTTACCACATCCTGCAATGTTGAAGATTTTGTTGTTTAGTCAAGTAGAATTGATGCTTGCGGGGTGTAAATCATAACTATAGCAGCATGTACCCCTTCAACATGAGGAGGTTCATCTGTTGGTTTGTAGATGCCGGCACTGCTGATGTAAAGAAACTGCTTCACCCCAGAGCTCTTCGCCCAATCCACCACTGGCCTAATTTTGGACATTGTTGTACAACATTTTAGTTTCTCTAGAATTCAGAGATACAAAATTCAATAACTGGGTTCTCAGAATCATTTCAACAAACACCTGACGGTGTCGAGGTCCTTGCCATTGTTGTCTAACACCACATCAAACGTTGCCCCTTCAACAGCCTTCCCAACGTCTGCAGGTTCTCCCCACACTGTCTTGCCTCCGCCACTCACAATTTCCTATGAACATGTTACAATTCACATGAAAATTTTCAATTCTATTTTACTTAAACTGACACCCAAGAACCCGAACATAATCGATTTTGAATCTTACAGAGAATCTATTGAAGGGAGGTTTCTTCATCTTGTCCGAGCTCTCATCTCCAACAGTCATGATTGTGACGGCATGGCCGGAACCCAGAAGTTCCTTTGCAAAGTAGAACCCAATAATGGCATGCCCACCACTGTTGGTATTAAGTATAAGAACCTTCTTCTTCTCTGCAGCACTGGCTCTGACAGAAAAGGAAGAGACAGAGGAACGCCTAGAACTTGTAGGGTGTGAGAACAAATAGGGAGAAATGGAGAGAGATGAAGAGAGGGAAGCGGAATTGGAGAAAAGAGATAGAGATGAGCGAGGAAGAAGATGGAGAGAAGGTGGAGGAAGGTTGGAGGGTAAAGATGAGAAGAGGAGGGAGGAGGATGAGGAAGCAAGAATAGCCATTGACTGTTACTTCTTCTGCTTGCTTGAGAACCAACAGTTTTTGGCTCAAGATAAAGGTTAATGGTGTGCCTCTTCGTCTTAAACGACTGACCGTTGATTGCTCGGAGTTAATAACTACACTAAAATTAAGAAGAGAAGAAAATAAAATAAAAAGAGTAGA